AGCGTCCTTTCTGAGTCCATGAAGCTGATTTAGGAATTCGTTGATGAGGATAGTCTCACGGAATGTCAGGGATCAAAGGTTATGCTCCGTAATCACCTTTCGCATCTCATCCTTCCTAGCAAACTCGTTTTCCAGTGCATCTACTACTTCCTTTGCCGTCCTTGCATCCACATCTGGCATCAAAGACGGCAGGTCCTCAACATGCAATTCAAGAATGCCTTTTGCTCGATCATTTCGGAATGTCCATTCTTGGAGTGACGGCGTGAGCGAAAAGATAGCTGTAGCTTTGGATGGATCATGAGGAGGTGAGGGAGAGACCATTGTGGTAGTGGTCTGGTCGGTGGTTGTTGTGCGAGCCAGTGGAGATACAGTAATAATTGGAGGTGGTTTGGGTATAGTCCCATCAGTATAGCCGAGAAGACCTTGAGTCTTTAGTGAGTTCACAATTCTTCGTTTGACAGGAGTCCAGCTGACTTTGACTCCTCTGTCAAATTTTAGATCTGCAGAGACCTCAGGGATAGGAGGTGGAACAGCACCATTGCTAGCCATGTTTTGGGTCTCAAGATGTAAGGATGCAGAGAATGGCAAATGAATTTATGAGCTTTAGTAATGCAGGGAGGAATGAGATCACTCGGTGTAGGACAGCGGCGGGGCCTATAACCTATCAAAATATAATAAGTTTGAACCTCAGCGTGATAAAAAAGCTCATGTATTCTCTACCTATCAAGATATAATAAGTTCGAACTAAGGTTATGATAAGCAACGATAAGTATCGAACAAAATAAACACAATAACTCACCCTCGGCATGATAAGAAAGCTGAGGGTATACAACAACAATTTCTGTATATAAATGAAATGATAAGCAAGATCTACTTCCTGTTTCGTCAAGAGATAAAACGGTTATTGGAAACACAAAGATAACAGATATGAAACAATATATTTATTTGAGAGATTTGTACCCCTCCGGGACTCGTAAGAACTGCTTTGGCCAACAGGGTATTCATCCAATATTCTTTTAATTGTGTTCTTCAATATTTTCTACGTCAGGACTCTTTGACATTCATTTGATATGTCTTCGGAGCCTCGCAGTACTTTGATCGTTCTTCTAGTCATTTTCCTCAACCATGTGACTTGATTGGTCTATTAGACTAAATCGCAGTCTTTTAGATTAATGCATGATCTTGTTCTAGAAGGAGTATTTAATAATTCCTGAGTTCTAGAAAGTCATTTCGAGTCAATCCTTGGCTCATGGTCACTTGAGTAAGTTCTTCCAAACTCCTGCCAGTGTAAGGCCCAATAAGAATACCCTTGGTATGTCATATGTGAATGGTCATCCTTCGGATGTAGTCCGAGTCTGGTATAATCCTGCTTGACAAACAGGTAGACTGTTATCCAAAGGTAGTATCAGGGATGGGTAAACTAACCAACTTGTGGTAGTATGGGTATATGGTCCCTTCAACTTATTAGACTGATTCAGTATTGACTTTGACTGTCAATCTGGGTCTCAATTACAGTCCTCTCGATACGAATCTATACGTGAAAATGTCACAATTCACAGCATAGACATCTAGCCAAAATTTAGGTGTGTCATCTCCCCCAAACTAAAGAATTTGACTGTCCTTGGTCATTCGTAGTTTTGTATCGGGAAAGGATACCCAATCTGTTATTAGATTGATTCGACAAGACTATATCTCCTTTTAATGTAAATCACTGGGTTTGGATCTCTACTTCTCCGTGCTCTCCAATCAATTTGGATGCCCTCAAATGGGTTTCTAGCGCTCATCTTATCAATTTATTCACACGCCTGCTATGAATTGTAACAGTTTAGCGCTCAATTTGAATTGAATACTTTTTTGGTATTCGTATCACATTTCGAAATTTTAATTCACAATCTTTTCATCATCTAGTCACAGAACGAGCTTCCATTTCACGGAGAGCTGCTCTGACGTACACACTGAATCAGTGTGTACATTTATTTGGTTCGTGGCACGGGGTTCAACAATTTTTCGTTGAAGTCCGTTTTCTTCCTTTTCCTTTTCTTCTTCCATCTTGTTCATTCAAAATGGCTTCAACCTCGAGTCAAACTCGATCTTCGGCCACAACTACTGTTCTCCCAACCTCATTATCAGAGGCTCAGGGACTCCTAGCTGGTATCAAATCAAAATCTACGCTCCCTTCGTTTTTCGAGAGCCCCAAATATCAAAAACTTCTGGATGGGGAGTACATCCCACCTATCCTGAGCTCTCAGAGTTCTCCTGACTACGATGGATCGAGTCCTCTTCTGACATTTCTGTATCCCCGCGGAGGATTCCCCTTCTCCTTCGGGAGATCATCAATCAGTGGGTCCTCCTAAACAGAATAAATGCAAACGTGAATTGGCCAGCCTTATGGCTGATGCCTCATCAATCCGTGCGTATCATCTTTTATCAATTTGATTCTATTTAATTCATCATTTCTTCGTTTTCCAGTGGATCATCGCTCCGCTAATAAAACTCCTTGCAAGGAAGATCTTTCTGATGCTCCCAAAGCTTCTTCTTCAAAGAAGAAGGTGGAGAAGCCTCTTCCTAAACCCAAAGCAACAGCTCGGTCCAAAACCACTGTTAAAGTGGTAGAGGAATCCCGGGTTTCTCCGGAGTCAGAGGAATCGGCGACGCCCTCTTATCAAATCAAACGTGTTCGTCTCCCCCCTCGCCTTTGTCAGGCCGCAAAAGGAAAAGCACGTCAGATGGAAGTCCTGGAGGTCGAAGAATCCGAGACAGAGGAGGAGGTTGTGCCTCCACCCTCAAAACGTCTCAAATCTTCTAAATCCGCTCCTACCTCCTCCAAAGCATCGAAATTTCGTCCTGCCCTGCTCATCAATGACCAGGGTCGTCTGAAATTGCCCGGAGACTCGGTGGAGGGATTTACTCCATTCAAACAAATTGAACACGCCCGAGTAAGCTCTCATTTTATTTTCATTTAATTCAATCTAACTCATTTCTATTAATTTGAATAGAACAGCGCCCCTTTGCATCGTCAAAACCCCATATTCAAAGTGAACCCAGAGTTCCTCGATTTAGGTGCTATCTTGACTACTCAGAAGGCCAGTTTTACTATGCAGGATTTACTGCAAATTAATCATACTATTCGTGACGTAAGTTCCTTTGTTTTAGCACATTCATTTTAATTAGTTAATCATATTTTCATAGCCTGCAATTCCTGCGCAGGCCTGCGTTTCAGCTTTGTCTTGAGGAGAGTTCAATCCGAACTCTTCTCGTTTGCCAGGGCTCAAATGTGAGTCATGTTCCTCTCGGAGCCTCAAGTGCATGTGCTCGTTAGATGTGGATCTGGCCATGGACGTGCTCAATGCGCTTCACGTCGCCACCACAAGCAGTACACTCAGTAAGTTGTTTTTCTTTAAAATTGATTTATTAATCTGGTTCTTAATTTCATTCATTTAGACTTGACGAACTCCCTTCGACGTACTCAGGCACTTCGTATGCAGCTGGACGGGCTGAGCGCCTTATTTGATCAGGTCCGCCAGTCGTTCTTGCAGTCTTTCATGGATCTACAGCTGGCTGGTCAAGATCCAATTGTCGTCCTCGAGGCCCTTAAGGCTGCCGAGCCTCAACGTGAATCTATTTCCATTGAAGATTGGACTGTCTTGGCCACCCTTTTTCAGTGGTCCAGCCCATTCAATTTGAATGGGTTGAAGTTTGAAAATCAAACACCCGCAGAATGGATCGATCTACTCCGTAGCATCCATTCTGGCACTTCTTCAGCAACAATAACCTCGGACGGACATCTGGTAGACGCCTTTCAGCCACCATAACCTGCGGTCGAAGACTCGGAGGATCTCGATACTCAAGGTTCCCTTCCAATCACCGTAGTTGAGAAGGATTCAGGGGCCGAAGACATTGCAAGCCTTCCAGAGGGAAGTCCGATTCAAACTGAATTGGACCTGCCTCAGATTGAAAGTTTGACTGAGTCGACTCCCTCTCCTGAAAAGGGGATCTGAGTTTGCTCAGGCTTTCAAAGCTTGGATCTTGGGGTCTTCGGGGCGTTCATTTTATTTTATTTTTATTTTACATTTTGTCATACACGGACGGACGGGCTCTCATGCCCATATCTCATTATAGCTGACCACTCGCGGTCGTATCGTCTGGGTTCTTAAGCCCAAAAATCTCATTATGGACCTTTTCAGGACCACAGGTCAATCGAGACCATTTTGTTTTATTAGATTTATTTCTAATACATATCTTGTATTTTTCCTGTTTTTCTTGTATTTCTTGTAAGTAGTTTTACCTATTATTTTTGTTGTGGATAGCTTATAGCTGTCCTGTATATACCAATTTACGAGCTCTCATGCTCATTTTCATATTAATTTGAATGAGTGAAACTAAGTCCTGGGACAAATACTTTGTTGATCCCATTTAATTTGATTGAAGAGCTACTCTTGCTCATTCTTATTAATTTGAATGAGTAAATATATTTTCTGTTCTCTCAATACACTATTCAACTCAATTCATGTTTTAATCTGAATGAGTGCTTGCAAATTATCGAGCCAGCTCTGAGTTCCACCTTTGAATAGGGGTTCAAAGTAAGACTCCATTCCGGATCCTGGCATGAATTTTCACGCGAGATCAGGTCCGCAAGACTTTACTGTCTTCATTGTCCTGAGTGCTCAAGTCAATCTCCGTTCGCCATTGATCATAACAACGTCGGGAGGTATTCTCAACTCCACTTTCAGGTTCTGAGCGCAGTTTCTTTACTCATTCCGCATATTTTGACCTTCTGTATGATCACTTTGATCAATTCTGGGTCACTGCGTTTGCAATACCATTCAATCGAATTGCAAACATCAGGAAACCCACCCATGGGAAATAGGGCATAAATTTGGTAAAATTGCTGAAATTTGATGGATTAGTTATTTCTTGAAATTAGCCAGATTATTTAGCCCCCCATATATTTTAGGTGAAATCAGCGCTAAACAGTCGGATTTCTTCAAATTAATGCCTAGTTGCGAGCAGATTTCGAGCGTGAATTTGTTCAAATTTCCCTTTATGATTCAATAACCACATATGAAGCAAATAGTGAATGCATTTGGTATGTGTACAATAAATACAACATAGATATAGTATTTAAAACTAGACTACTCGAAACTCCTCAGCACAGTAATCACCAACAGTACCAATCTGCAAACGTCACAGCAAAAAAATTGGAACACGGCACTTGTTGAGAATCTAGTGTGAGGAACTCAGTATGAGAGATGAGCAAACAGAAATATATGACAACACACCTTTGAAATATTTTTGTGGGTATTGAAGAGTCACACTGAAGAGTCGAGACTTTGTTTAACTCTACCAAGCAAAGCAAAAATACATAGCTCACCTATTAACCCTTAGCCACCCATTGTTTCTTACTTGCTCGACACCAGCCTGTATCTCCATAAGATGTGTTGGAAGCTGAATGCCTAGCAGGAAAAGTTTAGTGACTGGAGAAAATTAAGGAGAGACTGACTGAAGCAATGATGATGGGGGGAAGAAAGCACAAGAGAACGAGCGATAACGGGGATTTACAGGGATCGAGTAAATTTAAACTCCGACTATTGACTGAGACGGCGACCTGCAACCGAGGTAATATACAATTCAACACTCAAGTCACCGTCTATATGAATTGGACTTGCTCGAATTTTTCTACTACTTAGGCCTTTAAGCTTCTTTTGCTTCAAGTTGCTCACTCCAGGCTTGCTCTATGCTCACTGGTGGTATATTACACACTAAGTCACATCAACTGAGTATTGCTCTGGGCAAACAAATTATTCACATATGCTACCATAAAAGACTTTCCATGCACTCGCAGAGGGCTCAAATTCACAATATTATGGTAGCTTGTAGTATCACAAACTTCTGTAATTTGGCAAAACTTTTGTCAAATTTAAAAGCCATCATTTTAATCTTTCCAATTTGGCAAAATATATGTCAAATTTAGAAGCCGTGATTTTGATCTCATTAATTTGGTGAATTTCGGCTAATTGATAGGATTAGGAAGATTTCGACCATGAGAGGAAAATTAGTGCCCGATTTTCCGGAGGTGGTTTTCCTGATGAAACTATTAGTCTAATTGAAATTTTGTAAATTTTCAATCAAATCGATATCCTCCTCCCCCAAACTAAAGAATCCAACTGTCCTCAGTTGTCCTAATTTGGTCAGGAGCTTAATTTCACTGTTTCGGTATAAAAGCCCAGGCTAATTGGCTTTCAATATGCCATTCGTTCCAAGTCGACTTGCATTAGTCGAACTCAGTCGAGCTCTCATTCCATACAAAGTTCCATCAACATCTATCATCGTTCATCCCAGCATGCCCATCCATCACAAGAAGGATCTTGACATTGCTCGAGTTGCCGAGCCCCACTTGGGTGCTTTGCAGCAGCTACTTGCTTCGTACAAAGGCAAGAAGACAACCAATCCCGACAAGGCAACAATTTCTGTCCTACGTCGGTCTACCGAGTATCTTCATGATCTCTTGGTATGTTTTCTTTATTCCATTTAATTGATTCGTATCAATTTAATTGGTTTATTATCAGGAAAAGCCTGTTACCCTTCGTAGTCATGTTAGACAGATTTCTAACTTGACTGCTCGTCAGAGCATTATCGATACTTTGTGTCTCGGGCACAAACTATTTCCTGACATTGTCAGTGATTCTCACTTCGAGCAACATCTTAAGTTCATGGCTTTTGCCAATGATGCTCGTGTATGTATCAATTTTATTCGTGACCATTTACATTAATAGTCTTTTCAGAATACTTTCGTCAGGAATCGTCTCCTCGATCGTGCTCATTCTGTTCATTCGGATCACGAGGCGTCTACTCATTCCAATAATTCTCGTTTTATCAGGAAGTCCAAAAAGAAAGCCACTAGATTTGCTTCCTCTCGTGACGTCAAACGTGAACCTAGATCTGTTCGTTTCGATTCTGATGTCGAGGTAAATTTTCAGATCTAATCTCAATTAATTTGATTTATCAACTTTATTCAGATGAACTCAGCCTCCGAGGACAAGTTGGTGTCTGGAACTGAACACAGTTTCAAACAGAAGCCTACTCTCACTTTTATCAAGGTGAGTTAAAATCATATCATGTCTTGTATCCATGACTTCTCCTATGCCGTAGAATCGCTGCAGCACTCCCTATCCAACTACTGGTTCCAACAAAGGATCCAATAAGGATGAAAAGTCTGCTGTGAACGATGTTTCTCCTCGTCCCAGCAAGATTCATTGCCAAGCTGACAGTCATGTTTCTTCTAACTGTATGTCGTGTCTTGCTGAAGATAAAGGTGATTCAATTTAATTCAAATCCATTTCAAATGGATTCTTATTTCGTGTTTTAGTGACCCATAGCAAGCATATCAATCATGCTCTTGCTCAAGTCGTATCTTCTAATCTCGATACTCCGCCAGCTCCTCTTGAGTCGCAAAGTACCAAATTCATTGCTGCTACACTGAACTTTCAAGCAGCTGAATTCGAATTTAACGCAAACTTGGTTAAAACTTATGCAACTCGTGCACGTATTGCCAAAGTAATTGCTGACGAAGCTTGCAGCATCTTGAAAAGTCGCCAAGATTCTGGATCAAACTCTTCTGCTTCTGACGCAAGTTTTGCTACTGCTCAGAGTATCCCCACCACTGGTTCTGAGGACACCGTCGTCACTCCTATGGAGATTGCTGTTCCAGTCCTTAAGACCATTGAACGGGCTACTACTCCATTCACTCATGGTGTTACTCCTATGATGGAAGACAAAGGACACGTCTCTGCCTAGGTCTGCAATCCATCTAATTAATTCTCATTTAAACTAATACACCATCATTTAGATGCATACGTTTTAAACCCATATATATTATAAAAACAGTTCTTCGTCTTGATTCACTGTCTTTACATGGTTTCTTATATTCATATTCATTCATTCCATGCCTACTGTCTTTATGCCATCACAGCTGTATAGTAGATGCATCATCTTACCATCGCCACTCATTTTATGATGTCTGTTTGTAACAGTATATTATCTAGAGTTTCAATCTAATTATTGATCCTCCTCCTCACTGAGTTCTTCGTCAGAGTTGGTATCTGGTAGTCTCAGATGTGGTATGGCATCGGATATGTAATCATTTTCTGGTGTCATCCAATATTCATCTTTGTCTTCCACCATTAAATGTAATTGTTCGGCAGTTAAGTCAATAAGTTCGTGAATATTGTTTG